CGTCCTCTGTCAAAACGATTCCCAGATATTTAAACTTCTGCGTCTGCTTGATTCTAGTGTTCCCAACTTGCAAATCGCAATTCGGGCTCATCCTTTTACTGATGACCATGCATTCTGTTTTCTTGTAGTTTATGCTTAGTCCTTTCTTCACACTCTCCGTCGCTACCTTCTGTAGGAGATTTTGTAATTTCTTTTCCGTGTCTTCTACCAGTACTGTGTCAACTGCGTATCTTATGTTAAGATTGTGGCCGCCAATTCTAAGTCCCGGTAGGGTTTCCAATTCTCTCAGAATTGCCTCGCTCTATAAGGTGAACAGGTCGGGTGAGAAGACGCATCCTTGCCTTAAAGGAAAAGTTAGAAAGAGAAAGAGAGGTAGAGGCTGAAGGAGACGGACAGAGAGAGAGAGAGAGAGAGAGAGAGAGAGAATGGCAGGAAGATAGAATGAGGGCGACAAGACGTACAAAGATAAATTAGTGAAGAACTGATTTTAACACGTTGACCTCCAGAGGTCATTTACAAAATCTGACTACAAACGCCACCTTTATAATAGCCATCTGAGACAATAAAACATTGAGACGATTTAAAGCTTCGACTGAAGTCTTAACATTGTTTTCTAAGATGTATCATTAAGAATAAACTCGTTTCTAAACTGTTTGGTGCCTGCAGGACACAATTCTAAGTACCCACTTAAAGTAACACAGAAGTCTACCAACTTTGATACTCAGCATCCTCACCGTCAAAACAGATTTGATACGCACTTTTAACTGCAAAAACTGTCGAAAATAATTGAAGCCCTTATCATAACAAAAAATAACCCTTGACGACATCAATTAAAAACACGGCCAAAATGTACTGAATATATTCGGATATTAAAATTATGTCCACCTTTCAGTAATTTACACATCGTTTGCAACAGCACAAAAACCAAAAATAGTTAATGGATTTTCCGAAAGTGCTCGAAACGAAAATTAATTTGATACTTTCTACACACACTAAATCCCAAGAAATTAGAAAGAAAACATAACAGAAATTCCATGTCAGTCATTTACAATGAAATACACAGACACATATGTGTGTGTGTGTGTGTGTGTGTGTGTGTGTGTGTAGAGTGAGAGAGAGAGAGAGAGAGAGAGAGAGAGAGAGATTTAAAATATTTTCTTTTAAATGTCAAATATACATAGATCCATAAAACCTTTACTCTCTTTTAATCAGAAGGTTGGGATTGCAATGAAGAGAAAAGCACGAATAGTTTCCACTTGCAAGTTTTTTAATATATTAAAATTTTAATCAAGTAAGATTCTGGAAATTTTGGTATTTTTTCTTTGTTAATCGAGATTCTAGTGAGGCATTCACCAATTTCAATATGATAATTTTTTTATCAAAACACAAACTCACTGATTCCATAAGATGAAATAATTCATAATTTCGAAATGCAAATTAATATTTCCGTAAGAAACAAATAAGTTTAATTTTATATCTTTCATCGATTAAATGTTCCACGAAAGTTCCTTGAAGTCTGTCGCAAGATAAGTCCTTTGGAGTTTTCTTCCTTTGTTTATATATATATATATATATATATATATATATATATATATATATATATATATATATATATTGACGATCTATTGCTACACTACCCGGATAGCTAAATTTGCATACCTATTTGATGTCCCCAATACGCCACCCACAATTTTTAGTAGCATTTTTTATGATAATCATCCATTCTGTTACCTTTTTCATTGACTAACTTGCTTAATAGTTGCTTGACCTTGATTTGTAAAAAATCCGAGAGGACTTTATTGCGCATACTTAATAATAGATAATCTCCAATGAACATTTCAGATTAAAATTCAGATTCACGCTTAAATTTTAAATATTTAAATGTTCTGTTAGACGTTCCATGCATAACATGAATAGCTGTACGAATTCTATTCATATTTCCAAAAACTCTAAGATCATAAGAATTATATGACAACATTTGACCTGTGTTTATAACCCCTACATATTATGCATTCGCACGGAATAAAGCACTTCAAATCTAATGCAAATTCTCCTATGGCTTCCTAAAATATTTTCCTAAAGGTAAAAGGACAAAATAGACTCCATATCGCTTAAGATATGCGGTCTCATTTGACGACCTCTTTGCATTAGGCTATTAACGTTCATTTTTGCAGTGGCCATAGTCTAGTAGTCCCCCAGCGTCGCATTGTCAGCTTAAAGAATAGCATTTTAAGATAATCGATATAAAATATCTGTATTCTTATTTTTCACCATTTCTATTCAGAGTGCTTGACTAGTAATTTTGTATTGTCTTTACTATCTATACCAATATGATCAAAATATGTACATAGTTTTCCAAAAGCTAAGCAAAGTGGTGAGATACAGGAAAATTTCATTAGAGTCAAAGAAAGGAGTACTGAAATGTTACGTAATATCAGTCTTCCAAAATAGCAGCGAATGCTGGACAATCTGCTCACAGATAAAGAAGAGGCTTGAAGCAACAGAAATGTGGTTCTACAGAAGGATACTGAGAATACCGTGACCAAAACATGTGTGCAACGACGAAGATTTAGAGAAAATGTAAAGAAAATGGACACTTATAACTAACATCAGGAAGTGATAGTTGAAATTTCCAAGGCACATGGTGAGGAAAGAGAGCTTGGAAAATTTGATACTTACAGGATAGATTGATGACAAGAGAGATAGAGGAAAACAACGCATAATCTACTTAGTGAACCTGAGTAAATGGATGGCAGAGAAAGGTTTAGAAGAAAAGAGAAAATTCTATTTAATCTACAAAGGACAGGTAATTGTGGAAGGATCTAAAAATGTGAATATTTTTACAAGACTTGTGAAGTACGGAAGTTGTTATTTTGCTTATATAAGAGGGAAAAAGGATTCTATATTTAGGACCAAAGTTCAAAGTCCCTTTGTAATTTTTTTCTTTATCAGAGAGCTTGCCAAGAAGTATGTCCATGTTTTAAAATAAATTGATTTGTTTCTTGCTGGTTATCAACCCTTTTGGGGTTATTAAAAGCCGAAACATATTTAGAATCGTAGGCAGTTATTTAGATTAGCCACTGATCCCAGGTGGTTCCCCATCTAAGTATTGATCAGGCTCAACGCAGCTCAACTGAGGGGGAACCGGTGTTTTTAGCTTGATTTGAGCGTAGGCTTATAAAGTTAAATCTATTATCCAAAGGGACTGAAATCATCATTCAAAGAAATTTAAAATCAATTGCTTCTTTTTTTTTTATCGTATCAGAGAATAACATGCGGTATCATATGTCAAGAATCGAAAATGGAGAGCAACACACTACGCCTTTTTAGCCTCACAATTTCAATTGACTTGAAGTGGAACAGCTATATCGAATCAGTAGCTGCATCTACTGCAAGGAAGGTTAGGTCACTGTGTCGCTCCAGAAGGTTTATCTCGTCAGAGTCCATCTTGCACATTTACAAATCTAATATTCGTCCATGCATTGAATACTGTTGCCATATGTCGTTTGGTGCGCCTTCTACTCATCTCAAGGTTCTTGATAAAATCTAAGGAAGGATCTGCAATGTAATCGATCCTGATTTGGCATCTGGATTTCAGTCACTTTCTCATCCACGTGACGTGGCTTCCCTATGTCTTTTTTACAAATATTTTCATGACAACTGCTCTGGCGAGCTTTTTTCCCATGGTGCCCGGACTATATGAGTTTAAGTGTGCTACTAGATTGGCATCTAGGTCCCACCATTTTACTGTTGAATTAGTTAAATGTAACCGTCACTTCTACTCTAACAGTTTCTTTTCTCGCACTTTCCGCCTGTGGAACTCTCTTGCTTCCTTGATAACTACAATCTTCAAAAATTTAAATGCAACATCAATCACTATCATCGATCTTCTTGAACGCTGTTCAGCTTTTATACTTTCCTCGGTCCCCACCTATACTCAGTTTTTGTCTCTCACCTTCCCTCTCTGTGAACTAGTGGCCTTCTCTTCACCTTCACTCTTTGCGTACTAGAGGGCATTCCTGCCTTGCTTGGGGTGAAATGATTAAAAAAATATCGACCCTTTTATGGTTATTTGATGTCAAAATATGTTAGCTTTGATTATACTTGAGTCTACCGGTGAATACTTGTATGATTTATACTTGAGTTTATATGTAAACATTTCGCGTATGCTATATTTTAGTCTGTAAGCATCTGTGATGGTCCTCATTGGTTCAGCATTAATCCTTTGGAGGCGTATACTTGGTCCTACCAACTCAGTAATCAAAATGTTTGTAACTTTTCTTTAAAAATGGTAGCCCAAACCACTTTTTAAGTTAGTTCTTAAATTAAGATGGCAACAGATTAACAAATATAAACAGACTCGTGGAAAATCTAATAGTCGACAATGTGACATAAACGATTCACTTAACACTGAAAATGCAGATGGCGACGCAGGTATAGAATGATAAAAAAAAACAAGTTTATTAGCTTGTACTAACGTAACAGTGAATTTGTATTGCTATTTGCGACGGTTATATGTTTAACAATGATTAGAGGCGCAGTTTGTTTGAGACGTCGTTGTGGATCTAAAAATATCACACGTGTCAGAGTTAATTTAGGATTTCATTCATCAAGCGTCGATAAAATAAGTTACTTTTTTTGTCAAGGAGGAAAACGATCTACATATTCCGAAACTGAGGTGAAAATTTATTAAGTAAATAATAATTAAGTACAAAATTACTATTATTAAA